TCCTTCCTTCCTTCCTTCCTTCCTTCCTTCCTTCCTTCCTTCCTTCTTCTCTTCCTCCCTCCCTCCCTCCCTCCCTCCCTGCTTCCCTCTCTCTCTCCAGTACCCAGGGGTACTCTACCATTGAGCTGTATCTCTACCCTTTTTTATCTTTTATTTTGAACCAGGGTCTTGTGTTGACCCCGCAGGCTGAGCTGCAACTCACAATCCTCCTGGCTCAGCCTCCCTAGTAGCTAGGACTATAGGCTCTTGTCACCAGACCTGGCTTAGTTAGTGAGGTGGCTCTGTGGCCTGTGCTGCCTCTGTCCCCATACTGCTCTGAGGAAGAGGCAAAGGCTGGGGAAGGCTGAGGCCCTCTCAGACCCTAGACTCTTCCCTCTTCGGGAGGATAGCTAGTGGGGAGAGTGTGGCCCAGAAGCTAAGAGCACATGCTGCCCATCACCAGAAATGGCCAGGGTGTGTGAGCACAGCACCACGGGGAAGAGGCGGGTCACCTCTCGTTCACCTCCCTATCCCTTGTGTTCCCCGCAGCGAATGGTCAAGAACCTGGAGAAGGAACTGGCACTGCTCAAGCGGGAGCTGGCTGTCCACAACAGCTTGGTATGAGGCGGAGGCTGGGGAGGAGGGGGCCGCCGTGGCAGAGCACACTGCGGGGCCTGCAGCCAGGGAGGTGACACAGGCTAGGATCCTCCAAGAGTGCACCTGGCTGATGCCATGGCCCTGAGGCCCCTGTGGTCTGCTCAGACTCAGCCAGCAGAGCCGTCTAGTCCGGCACCACTGGCCTCCTATCCAGTGGCCTTTCCTTTCCTCCCCACACCATCACCCTCTGACCCAGGCCCCTGGCTTCTGAGCCAGTTCCTCTCTGCCAGGACCAGAGGTGGTGGAGCAAACAGAGGCTACCTGGGCAGTGGAGCGGCCCTTAACCTGGCTCTCAGGGTGGCCCCTGTACTACTCCTTGGGCTCAGGGCTTCCGCGGCTTATTACCAAATGTTCTTCATTTTCCTCTAGACCAACCGCCCCATGGTGACCTACGACCCCATGGATGAAGTCCAGATTGCTGAGATCAACTCCCAGGTGCGGAGGTACCTGGAAGGAACGCTGGAGGAGATCGATGTAAGGAGCTACCACGCTCAGCTTTCCTGGGGCTCTCGGTGCCTGTCCTGGGCACACCCAGTGTGTGTGCTGCTGGTCAGAACCTCACACCGAATGGGGACCGTGGGTGTGGGGTAGCCCTGGACCCCTGGTGTGAGGAGCCCTTCAGCCACCCTGGTCTCAGCTTCCCTATTTGGGGTTATAAGGCTGCAGGTCCAGTGTGGCCAGTGAGGGACAGGAGGCGGTCTGTCTCAGGCAGGCAGGATCCAGTGGAGTGCCAGCTTAGCTGCCTCCCTGCTGGGTGACCTCCCGCAGCCCTTCGGTGGCCTCCCGTGTGCAGCAGCCAGGGAACGGCCCGGCGGGGTGCAGCTGCTGAAGGATGGAGGTCTGGGTGTCTGCAGGGAAGACCCCGGGGCCCACGTTGGAGTGGGTCAAGGAGAGGGAGACAGTAGCGTTCGAGGAAGAGTCCTCAGGGAGAAAATGCTTTTCCGCACAGGGCATCAAAGCTCTCCCCACCTGTCAGCACGGGGAGCCAGGAGACCCAGACCCAGGCTGACTGGAAGGGTGGGCTCCGTGGCCTTCCTAGCAGGGGAGTCTCACACTGGCCCTCGGTCAAGGGCAGTGCTTGTAGGCTTTAGGGCCAGGAGGGAGGCCACTGATCTTTGTGTAGCTACAGATGTGTGTGTGTGTGTGTGTGTCTGTGTGTCTATGGAGTCCATCGGAGGATGGCAGGCCGAACTTTTTAGGAGCAGGAGAGAGCCAATTAAATAGATTTTGTTCAATTTTTTTCTTAGAAAGTATTCTTAAAAACTAGAGAGCTCCACTTCGAAAAAGTGGTTTCCATAGCCTCAGCAAATACTTCATTTGAAAGCTATGAGTGAGACGCTTCTCCGCTCCGGAGAGGGCTGGACTACCGCTTTGCTGAGACACAGACGTCCCATTCTCAAGACAGGCCCTGATCTCCTCTAACAGACACAGCCGCAACCCTGGGGGCCTGCGGCCTGATCTCTGTCTTGTCGTCTTCACCCCAGATAATCAACCTCAGGCAGATCCAGGAGGTGTTCAACCAGTTCCGGGTGGTTCTGAGGTGAGGGGTCCCCCACACCTCTCCCCAGTCCTTCCTCAAGCTGCCATTTTCATTTCCCATGTCCTGGGTGCTCCCCCTCCTGAGCACCCCTTTCTCTCTCCTAGGTGAGGAGCCAGATCTGAGTCCTGGGGGTGTGCCTTGGTCCCTGGGGCTTACTGGGTCTGTCAATAGGACAGAAGTCTGTGGAGTGCCTGCCCTGGGTGTGCCCACAGCAGGACATCGTGAATCTTCCCCAACCCTGACCTTGGGAGGCGATGTTTATTTGGGCGAAGATAAACGCACACCCTGGGCAGCTTATGCTGAGTGGTGTCACTGAAGCTGGCCACGTGATTCCGAGGGGCCTCACCCAAAAGACTGCTACTCCCAGTACTGGTTTTGCCCCCTGGGTTCAGCATGGCCTGCAGTGCCAAGTGTTCTCTGTCCTTCTCCCCAGCCAACAAGAACAGGAAGTGGAGTCTGCCCTACGCCGGAAGTACACCCTTATAGACAAGAACGACTTTGCCACCATTGCTGCCGTCCAGAAGGTGTGCACAGTTGCCTCTCGCTAACAGCGCTCACCCCAGATTCTCCGTCCTCAGCCCTTTACAGAGGCAGCAAGTGTCATGTGTCAAACCAGAATTGGCACTGCCTTAGTAACACCGGGACGAGCAAGGGTGACCAGCGTGAGAACAGACCGCCTTGGAACGGAAAGTGCTTTCCATGAATTGGAGATGTGGCTAATAATACACAAGACAGTTCCTAGAATCGGGTTGGAAGCCGGCCTTAGGACCCGCAGGGATGGATAAGAAGGGAGGTGATGTGGAAAGTGGGCACTTGCTAGTGAGGTCAGGGGCAGCTCTCCTGAGGCACCAGGGGCAGCCAAGACTTGGCGTGTGAGGTGTCCACTCCAAGACTTGGACCATATATGTGTGTGACTCTGAGAGGCCCAAACCTTGCGTCTCACCTGTGACCCTCTGACCCGCTTCCCCGTCCAGGCGGGGCTTATGGATGCTGACGGCCACTTAGTTGGGGAAGCTGATGGACAAAGCTTTGCATTTGGGATCATCCCTTTCTCTACCAAGACTGGGAAGAAAGCCAAGGCCAAGAAGACATTCAAAGAGCTGAGGTAAGTGATGTCCCTGCTCTGCCTGCTTGGCACCTGGCCCCCTCGCTGAGTGAAGGGAAGACACGCCGTTCCCCGCCACCCCTGGTATCCCCGCTGCTGTGCAGCCACAGTGGACGTCACCACTGCCACTGTTCACAGTTCTGCGAGGTCTGCTGGGGCCTCTCATCCTCACAGCAGCCCTGAGGTGGGAGCTGATGTCTCAGGGACCGACGAGGGAATCAGGGCTCTGAGAGGGAAGTCACTTCCCAGGATCACACGACTGCTGAGGGCTGCCGTGGCGGGGAGGACCTGGGCAGCACTGCAGAGCCCTTGTCCTCTGCTACCTCGGGTGGTACCTGCCCCCTCACCACAGTCTTCCCGCTGACTGGCACTCGGACAAGACTTGTATGTGCAAGGTGGGAATAGTGGTTCGGTTCTCTTAATGAGCTCCCACACTGCACTCCCAGCCCCCAGCCTCCCAGAATCAGCGCTGCACAGCAGGAAACAAGGGTGCAGGCTTTGGAGCGGAGACTGGACCCACCTCCCTGCTCTGTGCCGAAAACTCCCGAGGGATCCCCTTGCGTGAGATGTGAGAACCAGTGCGTGCCTCTGCTCCCGTGTCCCTAAGATGGGAATAATAAAGACAGCCTCAGAGCCATTGGAGCTGTTGTGAGGATCCCTGAGTGAATGCTGTCCCTCCCTGCACACGGGACAAAGTGGCTTGTGGAAAACTGTCACATATAGGCAAGTGTCAGGTGTCAGAAGCTGCTAGCTGCCTCCCGCCTGCTAGGGAGGGCCGGTCACATCCAGGGCTCTCTGGCCACTGGGCAGCCAGTGCAGTAGCATGCTCTGAGCTGGTCCCCTGAGCCACAGCTGTGACCAGAGGAGGAGGAAACAGCAGAAAGCGCCGTGGGCATCCTCGTGTCCGTTCAGTCCTGAGGCCGATACTCTGGAGAGGGAGCACGGCTGGCTTTTCTGGGAGCTGAGCTGGCGCTGGTGCAGGTGGGAAGCACAGGACACCGACTGGTCACAGCCGCAGGACAGACTTGTCCTGTTTTACCCCCGGGCCGCAGACAGCTCCCCCACTGGGCAGGGGCTCTGCCAGGACTTCCCAGGGACTCCTGTGTGATTAAAGCCTTAGCCGCCCTGGTGGCTCCGAGAGCCCGCAGCCACATGACAGGGCCACGTGCTTTTAACCTGAGGAGACCGTGTCATCCTGCCTGGGGTCTGCCAAGACTTTGAAGGGATCCCCCTCTTCTGATGAAGGAAGAGAAAATGCTCTTTTCCTTCCTATTTGCATGGCTTGAAGTCACACTCTGCCCAAGGATATGGTCATGATAGGAGCTGACAGTAGTGGGGGCTTCCCTAGGACACATGAGGCCATTGTATCACCCACAAAACAAAGTGAAACCAAAGCCCAAACAAAAAGATAAGAGCTGAGAGGGACGGGGCACCTGGCATAGCGCGGGCTGGGAATGGTCACCCACCTCAGTGCCCACGACTGAGCTCTGGGGCTCCCTTTCCTCCTCCTTCCAGCTCTTCGTTGAGAAAAGAAGGTGCCATCAGCCCTTTGAGTGCCAAGGACCTGGATGTGGTCTCTACCTCCAAGACCCAGCTGGTCCCATCTGCCAAGGAGGGGGATGGCAAGGACATGCTTTCACGGGACAGGGAAACTTCCAGCATCGAGCCTCCAGCATCAAGTTCCCCGAAGGAGGAATCGCGCCCACCCAGGTAACCGTCAACAGAGAGCTCCTGCACCAGAGCAACCCAAACCACAGTGCGATCCTCGGTATGTAAGCCTGCCTGCAGCCAGAGAGAAAGGAAACGGGGCGGGGGGGTAAGGGTAAGACTCAGAGTAAGTCTGAAGATGACTTAGACACGTGCGAAATGATCCAACTGCAGGAGTCATCCGGGACACATAATTCAACGTGGAATTGCTTTAGACCCTCCACACAGCAATTACTACAATAAAGTTATATGTCTTTTACATAAATAATGCAGTGAAGGTACCACATTCTCAGGGTATGAGTGTAACTTCTTCCTTTTCCTCCATCCGTCTCCCTAGTGAGTCAGTAATTGAGTTTTTAGGAATCCATTCTAAGGAAATACAGGCATAGACAAGACTTATACAAAAAGATATTCATTGCATCATTAATTTTGTTTGTTTGTCTTTTTGAGACAGGGTCTTGCTATGCAGTTCAGGCTGGCCTTGAGCTCACTTTGTTGCCCAGACTGGTCTCTAACTCACAACAGTCCTCCTGCCTTAGCCTCCTGTGCATTGTTCATTTAATATTTAAATTTGAGAGGCTGAGGCAGGAGGATCTCCATGAGTTTGAAGCCAGCTTGGGCTACATAGCGAGTTTAAGGTCAGCCTCAACTATATGGTGAGACACTGTCTCAAAAAAAAAAAAATTTAAATTAAAAAATCATTTAAACACCTTCAATAGGCAACTTTAGAGAAAGAGCATTAAGTGAGGTATCTGGAACCTTTGATTGTGCAGGGACATGTATGAAGAATCGTTTCCCTAGGCCATGCATATTTCCAGATATTCAGAGAAGTTAGAATCATGCAGTGAGCCAGGAATGGTGAAATCCCAGCACTTGGGAGGCTGAGGCAGGAGGATCACCCTTGGTGTGAGTCCAGCTTGGGTTATGTAAGTGAATTCAAGGCCGGCCTGCACTACATAGTGAGACCCTGTCTCAAAAGAAAAAAAAAGTTTTGATGCATTTCAAAGTGAGTTACCAACATCAGTCTGCTTCCTTTCAGCCCAGTACTTCATCTTATATCACAGTAGCTATAATTCCCAGAGTGTAATAGCATAAAAGGATGCCTCTGTGAAAAAGTAAGATGTAAAATTATATATACCCCATGACCTCAGCCATTTATTAGTGTATCAGCTGGGTATGGTGGTGCACACCTGTAATCCCAGCACTTGGGAGGCTGAGGCAGGAGAATTGCTACAAGTTCAAGGCCAGTCTGGGCTACATAGTGAGTCCAAGGTCAGCCTGGACTATATACATAGTAAGATCCTGCCTCCAAAAACCAAAAAAGAAAAAAAAAAAATCGCACGTGGAGATATGCCAAAGTAGGGGTCCCAATAGATAACGAGTGGGTTTATGTGTATGTGCACGTGTGTGTATTCTGCTTCCTATCTTTGCTTTCCTCATTGTTTGCGTCAGCCTATGCCCTTGTGGGCTGAGGAAAAGTGAGATGAGAGAATATGCACCCTTAGCTCCAAGCGGGAGTAGGTAGTACTTAGGACTTTGGCCTCCTTCCCACAGAAGCGCCAAGGGGAAAAAATGAAATTCCCATCACCTCCAAGGCTGCTGCCTGTTTCTTTCTCCTCCTTGGCCTCTCCCTCTGTCCCCAGGCCCAGCACCCCACCCCCCAGGCCTTTGGCCTTCGAGGATTTCAAGAACGAGCGAGGTAGTGAGATCAACCGCATCTTCAAAGAAAACAAATCCATCTTGAATGAACGGAAGAAAAGGGCCAGTGAGACCACACAGCGCATCAATGCCATCAAGCGAGAGATTGATGTGACCAAGGAGTCACTGAACTTCCAGAAGTCGCTACGGGAGAAGCAAGGTGAAGGTGCTGGGAAGATTACCGGGGCAGACGGCTGTGGGTCTCAGGGTCCCCCTGCTCCAGGGTGCCAGCCTTGAGCACTAGAGATGGGAAAGGGCCAGCAGCGGGCCCTGGGGTGCAGCCTTCACCCCTAGGTCACCTCACTTGGCTCTGTCAGCCCCTCAGGGGATCACAGAGTTCCTCCCTGCCAGCCCACCTCTGTCCACGCCCTGTCCCCCGCCCCCCGGTTCCTGCATTATCTCAGACCTGGTTGCTGTGTCTTCACCTGGTATGTGCCGCTATTTACGGAATAACTGGCCCTTGGTCCTATAGAGGCCCCCAGGAGATGGGCAGCTGGCACCCCTACAAGGTCTCCTCCTGGCCCAGTGGATCAGGTGCTGGCCGGGACCATGAGAAATCTGCTGGGAACCAGCACATGGCTGTCAGTACGACCTTTGCTGGTCACGACCTCTGTCACCTGCGCTGGCCTGGCAGCCTCTCTCCTAGGGCAGGCAGGGTGGGAGCCCCAGGCCTGAAGAACACAGGTCCGTGTGGAGCTGGTGCTTACCCGGTTGTCCTGGCCCCGTGTTGCACGAGAAGAACACCCACAGTGTGGGCCAAGCCAGAGGCAGCAGAGGACTCTGGGAGGGCCAGGAGACCCAAACCTGCATTTTAACGAGTGACCGCACCGACTCTGAGAAGGTGTTCCTGGCTCCCTCTCATGTTTTCTTCCTGTCAGGATCCCCGCGGGCTCCTGGGCCTGCCCTGCTAGCCCATAGCCCAGGTCCAGACGCACTCACACGTGATCGCCTGATGCCACACGGTGTGTTCTTACAGGTCAGGTGGATCCTCGCATGCTCGGGGTACTTTTTACACATGTTTCTCAGAGGGCACTTTATTTCCAAGTTCTCACAGCCATTGCACTCATACCCTACAGACAACCATGACACGCTACTCCAGCGGGCAGAGCCCTCCAAGAGCCTGGGAAACAGGAGGAATCCAGGCGAGGTGGCACCAAGCATGCCCTGAGCTAGACCCACCCGGGAGGGCACCTGGCAAAGACCCTGCAAGCCCTTCTCCATCCCCTCTGCTGTACCTCTGAACATACAGATCCTTGTGATATATTTAAAAAAAAATTTTTTTTTTGTCTTTTTGAGACAGGGTCTCACTATGCAGTTCAGGCTGGCCTTGAGCTCACTTTGTAGCCCAGGCTGGTCTCGAACTCACAACTATCCCCCTGCCTCAGCCTCCCGAGTGCTGGGATTATAGGCGTGTGCCACCATGCCCAGCTCTTGTGATATATTCAAAATAAAGTGCATGCATGCTATGCTGACATGTCATTTGTTCCTAAATACACCTGAAAACAGACATTTCTGAAAGATGAGAGAAAAAGGAAATGTACACTTAAATAGTTTTTAAAAAACTTATATCTATCAATATAAAAATTGTTTTTAGCTCTTTCCTCTCAAAAGTTTTATATCCACTGTTATTAATAAGAAACCCTGTGCCAGGACCTCCCTTTAGCACCCAGTGATAGCCGTTCATGTATATAGTTTTTTTTTCAGGGAGTTTGAGACAGGGTCTTGGCTATGTCATCCCAGGCGGGCCTTAAACTCATTGTGTAGCCCAGGCTGGCCTCAAACTCATTGCACTCCTCCTGCCTCACCCTCTTGTGTGCCGGGATTACAGGTATATGCTACCATACCTGGCTTCATGTATATAATTTATATATAATAGGGTCCTTAGTAAATACCTTTGGCTAAGGCTGGATGTGGTAGCACACGCCTTTAATTCTAGCACTTATGAGGCTGAGGCAGGAGGATCTCCACAAGTTCAAGCCCACCCCAAACTACATAGCAAGATCCTGTCTCTAAATTTAAAACAAAAAAAGAATATCATTGGCTAATAGATTTAACACCAAAATAAGCATGGCACATGGGCCATCTCCACCCTCTCCTTGTCCATCTCTTATTTGTCCTAAAATGCCAATAGGGTGCTGCTGCTCTGAGCTCCCCTCCCCATGGACATGCCCTGGCAGCCTGGCCTTCTTGTGCTCTGACTACCTCCTTGCCTGCGCCAGCCCTGCCTCTGGTCCCCTGTCCACCCCAGGGGCTGCCTCCTCATTCTGACCTCCTCCCCGCCCCCTGCAGGTGAGTATGAGAACAAGGGGGTGATGATCATCGACGAGGAGGAATTCCTGCTGATCCTCAAGCTCAAAGACCTCAAGAAGCAGTACCGCAGCGAGTACCAGGACCTGCGCGACCTCAGGGCCGAGATCCAGTACTGCCAGCGCCTGGTAGATCAGTGTCGCCAGCGCCTGCTCATGGGTGCGCAGGCTGGGAAGGCTGGTGGCCCCTTGAAGCCAGGAGAAAATGGGGAAGGCCACAGCCTGAGATCTGAGTGTCCCAAGAACTGCCCGGGGCGGGAGCAGGGGCTGGGCAGGGCTTCAGGTGTGCAGTTTGCGGGGCTAGGGATGAAGATGGAGAAGGCGAAAGCTCTGGAGCAGGAAGTGAACAGGGGGAGCCTGCAGCAGGTACAGGCCAGACGGGCACACGGCCCTTACCCGGCCCCTCGCTGGGCCTCCCCATACCTCACAGTGCTCTCCCTCGTCCTGGCAGAATTTGACATCTGGTACAACGAGTCCTTTGTTATCCCCGAGGACGTGCAGATGGCCCTGAGGCTGGGCAGCAGCATCCGACCAGGCATGGTGCCTGTCCAGAGGATCGTGTCTCTGGTGAGTGGCACGAGGGTTGGGCCGTGAGATGGCAAGGGTTGAGCACAGGCCAGTGGCAGCACCCCTTGTTCTGGGTTCTCACCACAGCCATGGCAGCGTGGGGTGTGCTCCAGCCTTCTCCACAGCTGGCCAGGCAGGGGCAGGGACTGGTGCCTCCTCAGTTATTGGAAAAACATCGCTCTGCCCACTCCCACCCTCCTGGGGTGGCTTGTCCTGCTCAGGTGGCAGCTCCAGGGGTGTGAGGATCCTGACAGACTCAGGGGCCGCAGGATTGTGACATGTGGGCAGATCCTGACGAGGTCAGGCTGACAGGACTGTCCTGGGTTGGGCCTCCCCCCAGGGAGAAGACGACCAGGACAAGTTCAGCCAGCTTCAGCAGACGGTGCTGCCTGAGGCGCCTGATTCCATCCCCTTCATCAATGCCAAAGTCAAAACAGAACAGAAGGTAACTTGGAAGGTTCATGTCGTAAGACTGCAGGGCCTCGGGGACCTCATCACCAGGACACTGCAAATCTCACTCCCTGCTTTCTGGAAGTGGGGGCTGAATAGCGCCAGTTGAGGGAGCTCCAGACTAGAATACATTGGCCAGAGAGGGTCCCAGAGACCCCGGCCACGCCTGCGCATGGCTGGCCAGCCACATGTTTACAGCTGAGAAGGCCCAGAGCCCTGAGGCCACTGCTTGTCAAGCAGGACCTGGGGGCAAGGCATAGAAGACCACATGCAGCAAGGCAGAGCCACACATACCAGCAGCCTCAGGTTGGCTCTGTCACTCCTCCCTGAGCAGGTTGGGCAGAAGCAGACTCTCCACCTGCCAAGGCCCAGCCTGGAGCCAGAACGGAGAGGGGTCCATGCCCAGAGGCAGGTTTTACACAGTGGATATATGTGGAGCAACTGCCTGAGTGAGCTCATTCTTTTAAAATATTTTTTACAAACTAGCATGGTAGAACATGCCTGTAGTCTCTACTACTGCACTTAGGAGGCTGAGGCAGGAGTCTCCCTTAAGCCCATGAGTTTGAGGCCAGCCTGGGCAATATAGTAAGATTCTGTCCTTGCAAAAAGTTGGTTTTTGTAGTTATTTACTTATATTTTCAAAAGAGGATACCTTCAGATGTTTTAAATATTTTTTTAAAAAGTGTGAAAGAGGGGCTGGGGATTTAGCTCAGCGGCAAAGCGCCTGCCTGGCAAGCACAAGGTCGTGAGTTTGATTCTTGGTACTGGAAGAAAAACAAAACAAAACCAAACAAAAAAAAAAAGTGTGAAAGGTACAAACACCCTGTACCACATCCTTCCACCTCCCATCAATCTTCTCTGACAGGGAACTGTCTCTTGATTCTAGTGTCCGCTAGATTGCTCTGCATCTTGTTTTCCACACAGCAGTGCCTCCTAAAGACCTCTCCAGGCCAACCTACATAGGGCTGCTGTGTTCTTTTTGGCCGCTGCACAAAGGATTCCGCTTGAGGACTCATCAGTGTGCTTAACTCATCTGTGTGTGTGTGTGTCGGTGGGGGGGATGCTGGGGACTGAACCCAGGGAGTGCTGAGTGATGTCCCCAGCCCATTTTTTAATATTTTATTTTAAGACAGGATTTTTCCAAATTGCTAAATTGCCCAGGCTGGGATTGAATTTGTGAACCTCCTGCCTAAGCCTCCCACGTGGCTGGGATTACAGACATGAACTAGCACCCCTGCCTCACCCATGTCATATTGATGAACACTTAAGAGTTCACATTTCTTGCTGGACATGGTGATGCATGAATGTAATCCCAGTACTCGGGAGGCTGAAGCAGGAGGATCATTGTGAGTTTGAGGCCAGCCTGGGCTACAAAGTGAGCTAAAGTCCAGCCTGAACTGCAGTTAGTTAGACCCTGTCTCAAAAAGACAAAAAATAAAAAAAAAATTAAAAAATTCACATTTCTTTTCTTTGTTTTTTTTCCAGTACTGGGAATCGAACTCGTGACCTTGTGCTTGCCAGGCAGGCGCTGTGCCGCTAAGCTAAATCCCCAGTCCCCACATTTCTTTTTTAAATTAATTGGTTAATTATTTTTTCTTTTTGTGGTTCTGGAATCAAACCCAGGACCTCATGCATGTGCTGTATCACTGAGCTACATCCCCAGACTTCTGATTATGAATTTACTTTTTTGTTTGTGACACTTTTTTTTTTTTCAATTATGAGGGGATCAAACCCAGGGCACCCTACCACTGAGCTACAGCCCACATCCCTTTTTATTTTTTTATTTTGAGACAGTTTTATTTGCAATACTAGGGATTGAACCCAGACCTGCTGCTGAAGTATATGCCACCCTCTTTTAAATGTTTTTATTTCGAGAAAAGGTCTTGTTAAGTTGCTAAATTGCCAAGGCCATGCACTAACTTTTTATGCAATGTTGTACTTGAACCATTTACACTTCCATGCATTTATTTGCTCATTATGAAATATATAGGATCAAATTTTTCAAGGTCAAAAATCTTCCCATTTTATTGAATGTGGTGGCTTTTATCTCCCTGTGTGTAATGAATGTGAGAACGGTAGGGTGAATGAGAGGGGCGTACAGTTCCTCAGTCCATGTTAACTCCATACCTCCTGATCAATTCCTTTTCTCTCTCCTTTTCTTTGTCCAGCAAAAGTACTTGAAAACCATGATGGGCCTCCAGCAGGCCCACAGAAAATAGTCTCCTCACCAGTCCCCGGAGGGCCGTCAACTCCAGCCTGCTGAAATGGAGCCACTGAAGCACCTGCCAGGAGCTCCAATCACCCTGCCCCTGGCTGCCCCATGGCCTGCATGCTGGGAAGAGTGTCTTCCAGGGTGCACGCTTGCTCACCTCCACAGAGCATGTTTGGTTTTGATTCATTGTCTTACATGCAAGGACAGGATAAAATTACTTTCTAGTTTGGACTTTTTAGTGCTAATCCAAGAATGATGTTTTATTTCCCACCTGAAAGGACACCTTTCCCTATGTGCCAGCGGGGTTAGAACTGAGTTGCAAGTAGGAAGCAAAGAGGAGCTCAGCCTTTCTCCTTCTGCAGGCTCTTTCCTCTCCTGGAGGGACACCCCGGTGAGTGCTTGGCCTGAAGTGTCCTTCCTCTCCTAGCACCCCCAGATCCTCGGTTCTCCAGGCGCATCTTTTCTGTGTCCGTGAGCCAGGCAAGGCGGAAGAGGCCTTCCTGCCTTGGCAACCAGGGGCACACCTGCTCTGGCCAGTGACCCTGGCGAGGAATGAGCCATGTGCCCGGCAGCAGGTGAACTGTGTCTGGGGCACATGCCCTCCCCTCTGCAGCATGTGTGTGGCGTGAGCGTCAGGGTGTCTCTCTGGCTTCCTCTTTTTTGCTCTGTCTCAGTGTGTGCCTACAGATACGCCCAGGCAACAGTGGCCAGGTTACCCGGGATAGGAAAAGGATGACACTGCTGAGGTTGAGCAGGGAAGAGGACATTGCTCAAGTGCTCAGAGGTGGCTCTGTGCTTGGTCAAAGGAAAGGGAACGAGCTTACTGGCTGCTTTGCTCTGAGGACACACAGCAGGTCTCTAGTGGCTTCCAGGACAACCGAGGCATCCTAGTATGGGAGATGGGGTGTCCACCAAGTGCGAAGTTTCAGCGCTTCCTTGGAATCTTTCCTCTCACACCCTCTTCTGTTCGTGTGGAGCAGGGTCTTGGCCTGGAGCCCTCTCTAAATGCTCTACGCATGCCACTGCGATCAGGGACGAGAGCAGGCCCTGGTCACCTGGCAGCCCTATCAGGGGAAGCTGTGGGAAAGAAGATCCCAGATCACATCTGGTGGGTGGCGTCTAGCTCGAGGACCACTTTATAGGGGGAAAGCATGAAGGAGCCAAGTCCTCTCACCTAAAGAGGACACGGAACACGGCAGCACCCCCCTCCGGGGTGAGGGGAGGTTGCTACGTGCAAGGGGGGAAGGGGATTTGGTTGGCGTGCTCCCCAAATGCCAGATCAGGGACACACATTACCAAACAGGAGCAGACAGTTTACCAAAAGGTGGAAATGGCTGAAAGGCAAACTGTCATCTTAAAATAAGAAGAGGCTTGAATCGAGAATGGTCCTGGCCTGCAATGAGTCATGAGAGCTCTCAGCTGTAGACCACCTGGGGTGGTGAGCACGTGGTGGGAGCCTCGGCTGAATAACCCATGGCTCTGTCCCTCACCCATCAGTGAGTGGACGGATGTGGGTCTTGTTAAAGAGAAATCAGAGGGCTTTCCTGTCCCTGCCTCCACCACCTTTCTCTTTCAATGACTGATGGTCTTGAAATCGCTATCGGGCCTCTGGGCCAAAGGTTCTGATTCTTTCCCTTCCTTGCAGCCTCTCCCCTTTCCAGGACTATTTGGGGTTCTTAGGTCTTGGGGGTTTTTCAGACAACGGGACATAGAAAACAGGGTTCCATTTTGTTGGGGTCATGGGAAGCAGCTGTTTATGGAGTCCCCAAACTCCCCTCCGGATCGCAGCAGTGGCTGGCATGGGGTGCTGGGCATCCTGTCCTCCAGAGTCCTTCGCCAGGCCTGAGGCTTGCAGCCGGGTCAAGGGGACCTTGCAGTGGCAGGGGGAGCTGGCTGCTCTCCGATTTGTCTCCGGTTCACCTGTCGTCACACAGGCCTCTCCCATCAGTTCTGCACAGCCTGAACAAGGGCTCATCCGGGAGGGCGGAGCCACAGGAATACACCAGGACGGTGCTCAGTGGATCATGTCCACAAACACATGACAGAAAGGTGGGAGGCGCTGTGTCAGCGAGGCTTGTCATTCCAGAAACCGCTTCTGCTGGGCTAATTCAACTTGCAAATCACATCCGAAGGGATTCCCAATTTCATCAAGGGACAGAGATGACCCAAACATAGTCCTGCTACAGAGAGGCGGGCTTTTTCCAGTACTGCAAATTGAAGCCAAGGTTTTCACATTGAGCTACATCCATACCAGCCCTTTACAATTCTTTTTTTTTAAATTTTTGAGACAGAGCCTCACTAAATCCCTAAATTGCCCAGGCTATACTCAAACTTGTGATTCTTTCTGAGCCTTCCACAGTTTTGAGATTATAGGCCTAAGCCTCAGTATATTTTTAAAATGCAAAATTAAATTTGTAGTAAAGAAGGAACTGGCCAGGCATGGTGGTACATGCCTATAATCGCAGCACTCAAGAGGCTGAGGCAGGAAGATTGCTGCAAGTTCAAGGCCACCTTGGGGTACATAGTGAATTCAAGGCCAGCCTGGACTACACAGCAAGACCCTGGCTCAAACAAACGAACAATCAAAACAAAAACAAAATGAGGGAGAAGAAGAAGGCACTAAAGCTGGTGTCATGGTGCATGCCCATAATCCCAGCATGCTGGCAGAAGAAGTGAGAGTCTCAGGCCAGCCTGGCTTCATAGTGAGTTCGGGGCTGTGCCTTGCTACGTAATAAGAACCTGTCTGTCTCATTCAAACAAACGAGCAACAGCAGAAGCCTCCAAACCAAAAATCAACAAAACAAAAAGAACATCTAGGAGCTCGAGACAAAGAGGGAGTGTTTCAGTTCCAGTGCTGTCATCACATGAACTGGCGATGGCTGGTAGGCCAGGGAGAAGGTGTGAGAATGGTTTGCTACACTTGAGCATCCATGTCCACACAAGTATGAGAAATGAGACTTTGGCCCACGCCAGCAAGGAAGCTGGGAAGAATATTCCCTGCATGCAGATGGCACCCTAAGACTCCTCCTTGAGGAAGAGGTAAACTATAGAAAGTTCTTCCATGCCAGGGGTGGGGGAGAACAACTTGCATGAAAGTTTGCAGCCATGTATAGGATTGAGACTCAGAGTTACTCTGTGTGGTCCAGGGCACATCATGCTGAGGAATTAGCATCAAAATTCCTCCCAAGCTTGTGATAACTCTGCACCATTTAGTAGAATCAAATTTTAAGAATCTACTGTATGTGCTGTTTACCAGCCACAAAGCCCACAAAGCCCTAGTAAATATGAGTTTTCAAATATTAAACACACACTCTGAAGTTAGGTATGGTGGTACACACCTGTAATCCCAGGTTGAGACAGGATCATCGAAAATTTGAGCCCAACAGAGGCAATTTAGTGATTTAGCGAGACCTTGTCTCAAAATTAGAAAGGAAAAAAAGAAAGAAAGAAGGAAAGAAAGGAAGAAAGAAGGGATGTAGCTCATTAAGAATGCCCTTGTTCAATTCTCAGTACTGCAAAAATAATAAAAAACAAAAAACACAATGAAACAACCTGTCATCGTGGACACACCATAAAAGGAAAGACAGACTTATAGGAACTTCAAATAAGTTATTGGAGAAAGTTATGCAATATGTGTACATATATAGGTATATATAAACTTATAAAATGTGTATATAAATATATATAATATATACATTAAAATAAAGACAAAGAAGAGCTGAGCATAGTCATGCATATCTGTCATCCCAGCTACTCAAGAGATTGAGACTGGAAGATCACAAGTTCAAGTCCAGCATGGGCAACATAGGCCAGTTCAAAAGAAAAAAGAAAAAAAGAATTGAAAAAAGAGAGGCTCCCCAGGGCTTCAAGTCTGCAGCTGATCCTGGCGAGGCCTTGGTGGTCTGTGCTGCTGGGCAGGGCATCCTGGTGCCGCTGCTGGCCTCACGCACCCCCCCACTGGGTGGCAGGTGGAGGAGCCAGGTGATGGTTGTGGGCACATAGTGACCTATCAGGACAGTGGCACAACAATGTCTAAGAATCCCCAGGGACTTAACACCAATCACACTATGAAGAGACTAAAGCTACAGCAGCCTCCTATAGCTACTTATTGAGTGTCCTGATTGCACTGAGAGTCCATGATGAGTGGTGACCTGCACTACCTAGGTTTGTCACTATGTCCTGTGATGTCCACACAATGGCAAAACTGCCCAACTGCCCAAAGGGACAGGAGCTAGTTTGGAGGTTGGGCAGTTTGGGTATGGAGTCCAAGATCTGTGCTTCTCTCTTCTCTTTACCAGCTCTTCATATGTATAGGCCTACATATGCAGGACATATATTGTATCGTTTTTCTCCAATAAGTTCAGCAATAACTTCTTTTATCAGTTTCACAATCGAAACCACACAGTCACCTGACTAACGGTCAACTTGTAACACCCAGCCGAACTGAATCAGCATGGTTCTGGGCATGGAAGGCCCACCTGAAGATTGTTGCCAACAGCATAAAAAAGAGAACTGGAGCGGAAGATGGTGAGCTGTTGATTCTTCTGGAGAAGCTTGTCATGCTGGTTTTCCTGATAGGAACTCAGCTGTTCTCATCATCGGAGGAGCTTGGGTCCTCGCTGTTGCTGAGGATGGCTATAGTACTTTTCGGGGGAGCTCTGTTCCTTACCTTGAGCATTCTTCCTGGCTCCAGTACAGATCCCTCAGCCTGTTGGCACAGATCCTTCATCCTGCCGGTGCAGACTTTCTAGCTTCTACCACTGGCCTTTGGGCCTTCCGAGGGAAAATCCGTGGTACAGACTTTCATGAGACGTTGTGGGCTCTAGTCCTCCAGTTGGACTCATGGAGGACATTGCCATAGCCTCTGGTCTTCAGCTGGACTCATGCAGGACATTGCCATGGGATCCAGGCCCTTAGCTGGATTCTTTGGGTCTCTAGTGTGTGGACAGATTTCTTGAGCTCATTTGCATTTGACTCTTTGGGTGAATATTATAAAATAATCCTATAAATTATGTGTCCTATATTAAATTATTTTTCTTATAAACTGTGACTACAACAATGACTAAATGGTTTTTTAACCAGATTCTTATTGCCTGTGATGCCCAGTCTGGACAGACAGTATGTGGGGAACAGAGAGAAGTGTATATGGTCTGACTGCTAGAAAACTAGAAGGATTTGAGGGGCTGGGGGCAGGCAGTTTACTTTTCCTGCAGGACAACACTTTTATTCATGCATGGAGAGATAAAGGAATTTCCTCTTGGCAGTGGATA